AGCTGGGATTACAGGCACGTGCCACCATGCCCAGCTGATTTTTTGTAGTTTTAGTAGAGACGGGGTTTCACCGTGTTGACCAGGATGGTCTCGATCTCTTGACCTTGTGATCCACCTGCCTCGGCCTCCCAAAGTGCTGGGATTACAGGCGTGAGCCACCGCGCCCGGCCGGCCCTTGACATTTTTTAAGAGGATAGGCCAGTTATTTTACAGGCTGTCCCTCAGTTTGGGTTTGTCTGGTGTTTCCTTCCTAATTAGATCATATTTTGCATAAATTTTGGCAGCAGTAACATAGAAGTGATGTATCCTTCTTAGTGCAACATATCAGGAGGCACATGTCCATTTGTCCTAATGCTGATAGTATTTACTTTGATCACTTGATACATTTATACTTCCTAATTTCTCCACTGTAAAGTTACTACATTTTCTTTTCTAATTAATAAATATATTGGAAACAGATAATTTGAAACTATATAAATATTCTGTTTTTCATTAAACTTTTACCCTCTAATTTTAACCCCATTGATGACTCTTACTAGAATCAATTATTATTGTAATGGGTGCAATTTTTTTTATTTATTCAGTTTTTTTTTTTTTTCAGCTGTGAGACGGAGTTTCGCTCTTGTTACCCAGGCTGGAGTGCAATGGCGCGATCTCGGCTCACCGCAACCTCCGTCTCCTGGGTTCAGGCAATTCTCCTGCCTCAGCCTCCCGAGTAGCTGGGATTACAGGCACGCGCCACCATGCCCAGCTGATTTTTTGTATTTTTAGTAGAGACGGGGTTTCCCCATGTTGACCAGGATGGTCTCGATCTCTTGACCTCGTGATCCACCCGCCTCGGCCTCCCAAAGTGCTGGGATTACAGGCTTGAGCCACCGCGCCCGGCCTATTTATTCAGTTTTTAAAATAGAATTTTATTTGGTAAACTACACATACATAATATCTCCCTTCTAACCATTATTAAGTGTAGAGTTCAACAGTATTACATTCAATGTATTACAATGGTAGTACGTTAATACTATTGTGCAACCATCAACATCGTCAATCTCTAGAACTCTTTTCATCTCACAAAACTGAAACTCTGTACCCATTAAACAATACTTCCCACTCCTCCTTCCCTCAGCCTCTGGCAACCACCATTCTACTTTCTATCTCTAAGCATTTGACTACTCTACATGTCATATTAATGGAATAATACATTGTCTTTTTATGACTGGCTTATTTTGCTTTGCATAACATCCTGAAGGTTCATTCATACTGTGGCATGTGTCAGAACTTCTCCCTTTTTAAGGCTGAATAATATTTCATTGCATAGGCGGGGTGCTGTGGCTCACACCTGTAATCCCTGCATTTTGGCAGGCCAAGGCAGGTGGAGCCTAGGAGTTAGAGACTAGCCTGGGCAACAGGGTGAAACCCCACCTCTACAAAAAATAAAATATACAACATTTGCAAAATACAAAAATTAGCTGGGCATAGTGGTAGGTACCTGTTGTCTCAGCTACTGGGGAGGCTGAGATGGGAGGATCACTTGAGTCTGGAAGGTTGGCACTGCAGTGAGCTGTGATCATGCGATTGCACTCCGGCCTGGGTGACAGAGCAAGAGCCTGTTTCAAAAAAAAAAAAAAAATCATTGCATATATGTAGTACCACATTTTGCTTATCCATTAATCTGTGTGTGGACACATGTTGTTTTCACGTTTGCCTATTGTGTATAATGCTGCTTTGAACATGTATGGACAAATATTTGTTCAAGACCCTGTTCACAATTGTTTTGGGTATATAACCAGAAGTGGAATTGCTAGATCATGTAGTAATTCTATTTTTAATTTTTTGAGGAACTGCCATACTGTTTTCCATGGCAGTTGTACCATTTTACATTCCCACCACCAGTGTACGAACATTCTAATTTCTCTACATACTTTGACAACACTTACTATTTTATATGTTAATAGGAGCCATCTACTGGATGTGAGGTGTTATTGTGGTTTTGATTTGCATCCTCTAATGCCTGGTGATGTTGAGCATCTTTTCACGGGCTTATCGGCCATTCATACATCTTGTTTGGAGATGTCTATTCTTGTCTTTGCTCATTTTGAATCAGTTGTTTGGTGTTTTTGGCGGTGGTGGTCATTTGCAAAGTTAAGCTGGCATGGTGGCTGACACCTGTAATCAAAGCACTTTGGGAGGCCAAGGCAGGTGGATCACCTGAGTTCAGAAGTTCAAGATCAGCCTAGCCAAGATGGTGAAATCCCATCTTTACTTAAATACAAAAATTAGCTGGGCATGATGCCATGTGTTTGTAATCCCAGCTACCTGGGAGGCAGAGGCAGGAGGATCACTTGAACCCAGGAGGCAGAGGCTGCAGTGAGCCAAGATCACGCCACTGCACTACAGCCTGGCAACAGAGTAAGACTCTGTCTCAAAAAAAGAAAAAAATAATAATAATAAAAATAAAAATTTTAAACCCTCAGAAAATTTGGTAAGAAATACATCCAAAGGCACCAATTACTGGACATAGTGTTTCAGGCCTATAATCCCAGCATTTTGGGAGGAAGAGGCAGGAGGATCACTTGAGGTCAGGAGTTCAAGGCCAGCTTGGGCAACATAATGGGACCTATCTCTACAAAAAAAAAAAAAAAAAAAGAAAGAAATATTTAATTAGCCATAGGTGGTAGCATGTGACTTGAGTTCCAACTACTTGGGAGGCTGAGGCAGGAGATCACTTGGACCCAGGAGTTCAAGGCTGTAGTGAACTCTTTTTGTGCTACTGCACTCTAGCCTGGGCATGAGAGCAAGACTCTGTCTCAAAAATCAAATGAAAACCAAATGCACCAATTGTTTACATCTTGCCATATTTGTTTTATCTCTTTGAACCTCTCTCTGTATGTTCTTATTGTTATTTGCATAACCGTTTGAGAGTCAATTGCAGAGATCACGACCCTTCATGCCTAAATACTTGTGCCTAGGCCTCCTAAGAACACAGACCTTCTCTTTATAACCACAGTACACTAACTGTAGTTAAGAAACACAATTCTATTATCTAAATATATAACCCATATTTAAATTTTACCAATCATCCCAATAATGTTCTTTATAGTAACGTGTTTTAAAAATGATCTATCATCCAACCCAAGATCATACATTGCATTTTGTTGTCCTCTTTCTTTTTTCTTTCTTTTCTTTTTTTTTTTTTTCTTTTTTTTTTTTTTTTCTTTTTTTTTTTTGAGACAGAGTCTCGCTCTGTTGCCCAGGCTGGAGTAGAGTGGTGTAATCTTAGCTCACTGCAATGCCCACCTCCTGGATTTAAGCGATTCTCCCGACTCAGCCTCCCGAGTAGTTGGAACTACAGGCATGCACCACCACACCTGGCTAATTTTTGTATTTTTAGTAGAGACAAGGTTTCACCATGTTGGCCAGGCTGGTCTCGAACTCCTGACCTCCCCACCCGCCTCGGCCTCCCAAAATGCTGGGATTATAGGTGTGAGCCATCATGCCCAACCATTTTTGGCTATTTTAGAAAAGCATCAGGAGTGAATATGGCTCTTTGTTGGGCTTCTTTCCTCAAATCCTCTTCCCTACAGTGGGATTGCTGGGTGAAAGGCCATGAACATTTTGATGGCTTTGATTATATTGCTGTTTTTGGGAATGTGGGCAAGGGAGTCCCAAGAGGTAGGACATGGGCAAATTACCACCAACACCAAAGATACAAGAGGCATGCCTTTCCACCTTCCTTCGGGTCCAGCTCCAAACCCCCTTCTGCAAAAATCCTTCCCCAATCCCCTGCCCTGTACAATTCGTTTCTCCCTTGCCTTAGACCCTATTATACCAATGGTAGTAACAACACCTCATCTAGTCCGCAAACATATCTCTACAGTCTCATGCGATCTGCAGGAGTATCTTTGTTGCGTTGTACAGATGAGGACACTGAGACTCAGAGTAATTGCCTTGCTCAAGGACACTCAGTCAGCCAGAGGCAATGCCAGCTCTTCAAATACAGAGTTCTTTCCATGGCAGAGCTGTGAAACAGTGACTCAGATCCACAGTGAATGTTCTTTCTTTGTCTGAAGAGGTTGCTGCACCCAGAGTTGGAGATACTTGCATTTGAGATAACCTGACGTCTCCTGTCCAGGCAGCCTCTTCAGCTTTCGAAAAACTCTCTCAGGGCAAGGGACGAGCCGATTTCCAGGACAGTCATTCTCAGCGAGTAGACTGAAAGGTGGGGAGACAGGAAGGAGGAGGGTGGGGGAAATCGTGCATCAGAATTACTTTTCAAAAATTCTGATAAGCCTGAGCCTATGCCAGGGTCTAAGGAGGGGTGGAGGGGGTGGGGAGGGAAATGTACATTGAAATTTGGAAGAGAATCTGATAAGCACCCTAGAGGGAGAATCTTTGATGGAAGCTGAAGGTCTGCTGGAGGTCAGGACTGGGCTATCTATTTCCTGGTTACAGCCCATTTAATGCTGATTACAAACTAGCCATTCCTTATCCAGGAACAAAGCTATGAGGATAAACAAAATGTAAACCTAGACAATGCGAACAGATAAAAGAAGGGCCTTTCCACCCTCTCTTCACTCTAATGCCGGGAAGAAACTTGTACAGCACCTTGTCACATGTCCGACTAATGGCTGAAGGGCCAAGTGGGAAAAGATCTGGTGTAGAAAACATGCCAACAAATTTGGAAACCATCAGATGCTGTGACATAAACAGTTTGTTCAAAGATGCATCTGGAGTATCCTCTGTATTTACCTAGTGAGGGACTTCTGGGAAATTCTTCTTCTTTTCTTCATCTGCTGCCTGGGATGCAGATGTGGTAAAGAAGTCCAGCAGCCAACTTGAACCACGAGGCGCACTTGGTGAAGGTGCTGCAGTGATCTGCAGGGGTCCCTATGGACAACACGGAGGTGTCCTCACTGTCCAAGCTCCTGACTGTAAGGGTTATTGCTGGGTTTAAAATGAGGAAACTGAGGCCAGTATAAGAAAATTAAATGCCAGTTTATTCAGCTCCCAGACGAGGTTCTATGGTCCCGGGGAAAGGGGTCAGAGAAGTCGCGTTAACTTCCTGGGGCATGGGGTTTTTATGGCTATGAGGACGGAGCAACAGCTGGGTGCTCTGATTGGCTCCAGGAGAGCGGGATTGGGACGGGGCGGGCTGCTATTGGTTGTCAGGTTGTCGGGCGGGTTTTCCGGTGTGAGAGCCGGCCAGGGTTGCATTAGCCGGAGCCTTCCAGGGGAGCCATGCGGCAGAGCTAGGTGCCGAGTGCAGAGCCAGGTGTGGGTGCAGAGGTGGGTGTGTGCGGCCTCCCGGCGAGGCAACCAGCCTTACATTCTGACCCTTTTGATGATACAGGACGCCGCTTCTTTCTGGCTACTTCCTGCTGAATGAGGGCGGAGTGAGGGAGAAGGGTCAGTTGGCTGGTGCCTCGGTTGGGAGTCAGACATGGGGTGAAGCAGCATGTGGTTTACAGCCACCCTGGAAATTTCCTTCATGTGGGCCTGCAAAAACCTGAGGAAAAAAAGGGGCTAGCATTAGCAGAAGACAAACTATGATAATGGGAGTGATAATAGGGGTTAGCCACGTCAGCATGCGGGATTGCCACCAGTTAAGAGGCGAGACTGATGCATTCTGCTTCTTGCGGAGGTCCCCTTGGAGGCGATAGAGCGTTGACATTTTCTTCTACAAGGCGTTTCATTGATGTAATAGCAGCATTGCTCCTGAAGAAACAGACAGGTACCTCCCTTTTCTGCTGTCTGCAGGTCAAGGGCCCGTCGGTTCTGGAGAATTACCTGGGCCAGTGACGTTGCCACGCGAAGCTTGTCCTTTAATTGAGTGGCTGAGGTGAGACTGTAGCCTAGGGTGCCACTACCCAGCCCGGCCGCCACCAGAGAGGATGCTAGAGAGAGACCAACGACCATTGGGAGGAAGACTGCTCATCTGTCTCGGTGATTAGGGGAAGGTAGAAGGAGGGATGGAAGTTCAGCCTGTCCGTATACCTCTAACTGCGGGACCAAGGTGACAGGCACACAAGGGAAAGAGAAGGAGGCTCTGAAGGGTTAGGGGGCAACAGGTCGGGTCCATGGGTGAGGTGGAGGCGAGTGGGGCCCAGGGGTTCGGATTTCCACTGATCATTTTGGGGGGTCAGTTTGAGGCAGGACACATGGTACCATGGAGTGTGACCCAGGAGTTTGGTGGCTGTGGGGGTGGTTAGGATAACAATGTGGGGTCCCGACCACCTGGGTTGCAAGGATCCTGGTTTGAGTTCTTGGAGGAGAACGCTGTCGCCCAGTTGGAGAGGCGCCACTGGGTGGGAGTCCTCCGGTCCTGGAACAACAGGGAGGGAGTGGTCTGCATGCTCCCTTAACAGGTGGTGGAGGAGGGAAAGGAAGGGAAGGTAGGAAGCCAGTGGAGGGGGGTTTACAGGGAGGTTGTGAGAAACCAGGAAAGGCCGGCCATACAGCAATTCGAAGGGGCTAAGGCCCGTTGGCCCCCGTGGGGTGGCCCGGACCCGGGGCCAGGACAAGAGGTAGGAGTGTGGGCCAAGAGAGTTTTACCTCAATAGCAAGTTTGGCCAGATGGTCTTTGAGGATGTCGTGGGCCCGTTCAACTTTACCCGACGACTGAGGATGGTAAGGGATGTGCAGTTTCCAGGAGATGTTGAGGGACTTGGCGACTAGCTGGACTACTTGGGCCGTAAATGCTGGACCGTTGTCCGACTGGATGGTGGCAGGTGGGCCGAAGCAAGGGATGATTTCTTGAGTAAAGAGGGAGGCCACCGTGTCTGCCGTCTCCCGGGAGGTGGCGAAGGCCTCAATCCAACCTGAAAAGGTATCTACAAAAGCTAGGAGGTAGCGAAGCTTTTTGTGAGTGGGCATATGAGTGAAGTCAGTTTGCCAGTCTTGGGCAGGGAGGTTGCCACGCATTTGGTGAGTAGGAAACTGTGACCTTAAGCCTCCCTGAGGCGAGACCTTAGAGCAAGTAACGCAAGCCTTGTGTACCTGCTCAATTGTTTGTTGCAGACCTGGTGAGAAAAAGAGGGGATGTGCAAAGCGGTGTAACACCTTAGGCCCTGTACGTAAGAATTGGTGGATTTCAGCAGTCATTTTAGGGGCCTGTTCCGGGAAAGGGCGAGTCTGTTATTTAGGAAGGTCCAGCCCTGATTAGATTCTGTTCCTCCCTTTAGTATAAGGGCCTGTTTTTCCGATGGTGAGTATACAGGCTGTGTGGCCGTGGTAAGGAAGAGAACAGGGGTACGGGGTTAACTCGGCATTAGTTAAAGATCTTGCTGCTGTATCTGCCTGTGCATTGCTCCGGGAGACGGCATCATGCTGGGCGCGGTGTCCTCGGCAGTGTATGACTGCAACTTCCCTGGGCAATGATAAGGCCTGGAAAAGGTTGGAGATCTGTGTAGCATTGATTATGGGGGTTGGGGCGAGGAGTTAAGACAGGGCGTGGCATTGGTTAGGAGTGGCAGTAGGAGGTGGGCGGATGATGGGCTTGAGTGTGGGGTGCCAGTGAGTTGGAGAGTGGCCCCCACAGTCGGGAGAATGCCTCATCCTAAAAGGGGGACTGGGCATGAGGGTATGATTAAAAAGGAGTGGGAAAAGGGGTGTCCCTTGAGGACACAGGCTAAAGGGTGGGTTTGGTTAGGACAGGAAGGCTTACCATCAATTCCCATGACTGAAACCTGGGAAGGTATGCTAGGTCCTGAGTAGGAAGGCAATACAGAATAGGTAGCCCCCATGTCTACTTAAGAAGGAAATGGACTTACCCGCTACCTGCAGCGTTACCCTGGGCTCAGCAAGGGTGATGGGGGTCTTCGAGTCTGGGCTGCGTCAGTCATCCAGAAGGCCGAGAAGTTCAAGCGATGGGATTGCTTCCACTGTAGCATTTGCTTCCTGTGGACCGGCCTGCCCTCCACATAGAGATGCGAGAGGTGGGCCTGTAGTCCGGGATGGGCAATCACCGAGCCAATGTCCAAGCTGCTCGCAGTCCGGGCAGGGCTTGGTAGGTGGTTGGGGACATGGATACTGATGTGCCCAGTGTCCTTCCTGACCGCACTTGAAACAGGGCCCAGGTGGAACACCTCTGGAGTTCTTGGCGGGCTTTGATGGACCCCCTCCATCAGGCACCTGGTGGGCTGCCGGCCTCAGGGCTGCCATAGAGCTTGGGTTTGGAGGCTTACCTTTTGCTGTAGACGGGCCTGGCGGTTGGCCTCAGCCTTTTCCTCTCGGCCATTAAAAACTTTAAATGCCATGTTTACCAGGTCTCGTATGGGAGCTTGGGGGCCCTCCTCAGCCTTTTTCTTTCTAATGTCAGCCGCTGACTGAGAGATGAAATAGGTGGCTAGAACTGTAGCCCCTGCTAAAGAGGCCTGGTCCAGCCGGGTATGAAGGATCATAGCATTAGTTAATCGGTCAAGGAAGGCAGCTGGGTTTTCAGTAGGACCCTGAGTTATTTTCCTTAACTTATCATAATTAACTACCTTTTGGGCTGCACTTTGCATGCCTCCTAGGAGGCACTGTAGCATTTGGTCTCGGCGGCAGTGGCCATCTTGACCAGTTTGATAGTTCCAATTAGGGTCGGCCTCGGGGACCGCTGCCGCACCTACTGGCATTTGATTGTTTGTGAGATGTACCTGATCAGTGTGCACCCGGGCTGCCGTAAGGCTGCGGTCACGCTCATCTGGGGTGAGGGTGGAGGACAGAATCACACAGGTATCATGCCAGGTGAGGTCGTAAGCCTGGGTGAGGTGGCGGAATTATTTGGTGTAAGCAGTAGGATTGGTGGATAATGACCCTAGGCGTTTCTCAATGGTGGCTAGATCAGAGAGAGAGAAGGGAACATGTACTCAGACAACGCCTTCTGCTCCAGCGACCTCGCGCAGGGGGCAAAGAAGGGAGGTTTCATCATCAGGAGCACAGCGCGAGCACGTGTGAGCACTAACAGGAGAGGCTAGGTTAGGACCAGGAAGAGGAGGAGCCGGAGGGGTTGAGCTTCTGCAAAGGGTGGAGGATTAGTGGGTCGGCCGGGTGGAAAGGAGAGTTCTTCTGGTGGGTCGGGGTCAGAAAAGGAGGAGGATGGTGGAGGGGCCGAGGGCAAAAGGAAAAGAGGGTGAGGTGGGAGCGAAGATACAAGAAAGCCTGAATGTAGGGGACCGCCAACCATTTACCATTTCTTTGACACAAATTGTCCAAATCGGTTAGAATGCCAAGATTGAAATTTCCCGCCGGTGGCCACTTGGACTGGTTGTCCAGAGGATACTGGGGCCAGGCCACGGTGGAGAGGAAAAGCAGCTTTTTCTTTTTATGGAGAGGCCCAGCTTGGGTAAATTTGGGACTAGACATCCCAATGGCAACTTGGGGTCTAGGCGGGACTCTTGATTACCCATAGTGCCCTCTCTGTTGCAGGATAGTCAGGAGTGAGGAACGGCATCCCGGACCTCAACACCCAACTACCGGAGGTTACGGGGAAGGACAGGAGTATAGGGACGTCTCCACAGTATTCCTGTCTTCTGGAACGGGTGAGCCGGGGTACCGGGACGTCTCCACGAGGCCCACAGCTCGAGATGGGGAGGAGTCC